CCTCGCCGCGATAATTGCAAGGTGCCGCCGCAACCGTGAGATTCATGTGGATTTGTATTCTAAACAATTAACTACGCTATGGAGAAAGTACGTAGTAAAAACATGAAATTAGTCATTGTTGCTTCAGTTTGTATAGGCCGCTGAATGAAGCGGTCATCCACCCCTGGCTAATTGCACTGTCCTTCACATTCGCATTCTATTACGTTTGCTTCAGTTTAATTTAGAAACAAAACTTGGATTTCGATTGATGTGTTCCCATAATGGAATAAAACAAATTAAAGTCCGACTGACTTATATTTCACAGTTGTAAAGTTGCTAACGAGACCAGATTTTGACACTTTCTACGCATCGCCACGACAAACAGTTATACAATTCTTAACAAACTGTGAAACTAAATAGAGTTTTGAGAAAAGTAAACCTAATTATAAAAAAGTGAGTTAACAGCTTAAAACAAGAAACCCACGACTTTTTAAAATGTTATTTGATGTCATCGGAATAATATGATAGTGTAGAATTCCATCTTGACCTAGTTCTTACTAAAACTCTATTTTAGTTTACAGCTGCATGAAAAGAAAAATATATCTAAAGTTAAAAATAAATCGAAATATGGTCAACAGGAAATTACATAAGTGATACAAATCGTCTCGGATTTCATAACCATCAACTATATTTGTAAGTATCGATTTGCATTAATATGCTCACGATGTAAGTGTTATGTAAACAACTATACAGTTATGAAAATTATTGGATGAAGACAACAAGTAAAACCTATGTACAATACATAAAAATAAAAAATGAATTACTTATAACCATTTTGTGGCCACAAAATTGTTAAATAAACAAGTTAAGGTGCTACGCATGCTTGTCAGTGGGAGAAAGCTGTCGCGCGCTGTCCGGTCAGCGAGCTTCTATCCTCACGCCGCGCCGCAAATGGGGTCGGCAACACGCAGTCACAGTGACATTATTTGAGGTAACTATATCGTGATTCAATTCGATACGGTACAGCAATAGAAATGGTATCAAATCACGTAATACTGAACGCAATTGAATTACATTTTGTGTAAAATTAAATTTGATTCAGGTAATAATGTAAATCAACTTACGAAGTTTTGTTACTTTTCAATGTAAATACAAAAGTACTTTGTTTATAGGAGAAAGGAGGAAGATATCAGTATTTATATAATAAAAGTTTTCCGTATAATATGTTATCAGTAGCACGTTCATCTAGACATTACTTCAGAGATTTTTACATAGATAAGAGTCCGCTGAATTCTCGCAGCAAATTATTTGTGAAATATTTAAAACAGCTTTCTTTTTCTCTTTTATTTTTAAATAAGTAAGTAGTTGAATTAATCGTAAAGTCAAGGCATGATATAATAATATTAAAAACACCAATGGTATCCGTTGCACTGAATTTGAAACGTTTGTTTTAAGTTAAATTATTTTACTTAAGTACTCAGTTGAAATATACATTTGGTACTAAATAAGTTGCAAATTCCTGTATCCATACATTTACATAGTTTAGAGGAAGCTCTTTAGATTGTTTTAACAAAAAACTAATTCCCATATTAAGTTGTAATAAATACTATCTTACTGGCACCCATGCAGCCGGCCCTGTCTCAACAGACCGACACTTCCGTTACAACCGGAAGCAACCCTAAAACTTGGGGCGTTCGCAGATGGCGACCACAAGTTGTATCATGTTTAAAATTAATGACCAGTAGTTTTATCTACCTCGTTTAAATGTAATGTTATTTGTTACTTATACATAGAGATGCATAATTGCACAAGTGACCCCGTAAAGTCAACATTTGTGACAGTTATGTAAGACGTGTCGATATCCCTCGGGTCACGTCACGTCACGCGACCGTGTCCATTACATCGACGTTACGTTGTCGCCGCGCTGCCCTTTGATGGATTGAATATTAAATCATAACAAGCTATAATTGATTGTTAAATAGAGAAAGTAACTTATTTAATGTTATGAATATTATAATACAGACTGTTAATGAATTATTTACAAATGTTTAAATATAAAAGCATGTGAAACAGAAATAGGAAATGATAGGTTCTCCCACGGATAGTGGACGAAAAGACACCTCATGTAGTTTTATATGTATTTTATTTCTGCTTCGAACTTGACATGGACATATTACGAAGAACATCATGAAACTATAATACTGTGTAAACCTAATACGTAATATAAATAAATGTTTAGTGTTAAATTGCTTTTAAACCCTGTTTGATGAAATCGGCAGCTCTTTCTGCGATCATGACGACGGGCGCATTGGAGTTGCCGCGGATGATTGTGGGCATAACGCTGGCGTCGGCGACACGCAGCCCCTGCACGCCGCGCACGCGCATCTCAGCGTCTACCACCGCGCCCATTGCCGCAGTGCCCACAGAGTGCCACGCTGACATTGCCGAACACCGCGCTATGCATTTCACTTTGCTGTCGCCTTCCAATGCTCTACATTCTTCAATATCTAGATCGATAACACGAGCATTTTTACTCTGGAAGTAGGAGGTGTTTACCAGAGCCCATGCAAGATCCATCGCTTCAGGGTACCCTTCCAAGTCCCTCGGATCACTAAACGTGCCCGTGTATATCAAGGGTGGGTCCAAATAATCCGTAGACTTCAAACGTACTCTTCCCCTTGATTTCGGTTTTAGATTTACGACAGCTAAAGATATTAACTCTCTATCCCTGTTTTCAGCGTCCAGTTGTTCGCATATCTCTTTCTTGAATCTCAAAACATTGAGGCAGCCTTGATAAAAATTGCTGCCGACCGGGGAACAGGTCGGGTAAATGGCGAAGTCGGGCACGTTGGCTCTAGCCGAGCCTGATAGCGATATGTAAACTCCGATATCCGTCGTCTTAGCGAACGACCCGCTGCGATCGTATAAGTATTTTATAGCATCTAAGTACTTACTTCGTTCGTCGGAAAAACAGGTTCCATTATCTGCAGCCAAATAAGTTAGCACCATCACGTGGTCGTGGAGATTTTCCCCGACTGCCAGGTCCTTGATTAGCTCTATTCCTAACTCCTCTAAATGCTTTTTTGGCCCGATCCCAGAGAGCATCATCAGTTTTGGCGAATTAAATGCACCCGAAGATAAAATTACTTCCTTGTTCGCATAATAATGGTACTCTTCTTCTTCGATCATTACTTTCACACCGATTGCTGTACTATTTTCTGTTAGAACTTTGACAACCTGCGATTCTTTTAAAACGAATAGATTATTCCTTTTCGCTGCATTATTGAGCAAACCTGTGAGCGAACTCTGTCTCTGGCCATCCTTGATATTGTGGGAGAATCGACCCACGCCAATATTTTGGGGATTCGTCATATCTTTAACAAGTCTAAATCCTAATTCTTGAAACGCCTCAATAAACCTGTCGGTGGTGTAAGTGGATTCGTTTTTCCCTGAGACCTCCATCTCTCCGCCGAAGCCGTGGTACTCGGCCAACTCGGGCTCTTCTACTATCCTTTCATCCGTTAGATGTTCCGTCTTCTTAAAGTATGGTAGTACTTTGTCCCACGTCCACTCCTCACTTATAAGATCGGCCCACTCATCGTAATCCGCAGGGAAGCCCCTAGCGTACACCATGTCGTTCAAGGAACCGCTGCCGCCCAACATTTTCCCTCGCGGCTGACCCTGGCTGCCGCCCTGCAGCGCCTGGCTCGAGAATTCATTGTTCACCGTCGTAAAGTTCCAATCGTATGGGCTTGATTTCAACACATCTTTGAAACCGGGCACCTGAAATCGGTTAATTTAAAATATAGAAAGAGATTTATTTATTTATTTATGTAGCTGAATAGAACAGATACTACACTTTGAGATTGAGTACAGATTGAACGACTTCATTTTTTTAAGATTTACGTTAGGTAGATATTCACAACAGAGTCCTGTGGCGGGTCGCCCCCCGCCTCTATCAGTAACACACTGAGGGCGCCGAGCTCGCTGAGCCGCGCCGCCAGCGCCGCGCCCGCGCTGCCGCCGCCCACCACGACCATGTCGTAACTAGACCCATCTGCAATCAATATTCTAACAGGTAACCTAACCACTAACGAACTCTTTCTAGGTATAGAAATTGCATTCTCTTTCAGATTAGTTAACTGTTTTGTTAAAATAGTAGCAATAAAGCATCCACTAATATTCTTAAGTGATTAGTATTTAAAACCGTTATCCACCTTCTATCGTTTATCATATAGGTGTGAGAAATTATATAGAAACTTACTTGGTATATTAGAGTGTGGCGGCCAAGACTCGCAGAGCAAGCACTGTGCGGCCGTAAAGAAATGCAGCGCGGTAGAGAACGCCGCACCCGACACACCTCCCGCACCCCCCGCGGCCCCCGCGCCGCACACTCCACCCAACATGTCTTATTAATAAAATACTTTATTGTTATAAAGTTCTTAGTTTTACGCGTCGGCATAGTAATCCAGAATTAAACAATAATTATACTTTATTCATCCAATGATTTAAAAAAGGTATAATTAACGTTTTAAAAATAATTAAATAGTTAATAAATTATTTAAAATTGCTTACCGCTAAACTAACGCCGTAGTACCCTGTCTGTTGATCCCGACCGCGCCGGACAAACTGTGCCGAAAGCTACACCTGTAAACTATCAACAAATACAACAATGTTAACAGGTTAATTAATTTTAATGCATTAATAATGTTGAAACGCTAATTGTAATTAAAACATGACCATACTTTTTCGTAACTAGTGACTTACTACGATTTTGTCCGCGTTGAGGTCAAAAACCTTAAATCAGCGTGCGTTAATACGCACGAGTTTTTATATCGCATTTCACTGCTGCAGCGAGTCCCGCTTTAACATCGCCCTTACTTTTATATCATTTGGCCAAATAACTATGTTTCGAAAGGAAAGTTTTTAACACAAAAATACTTCGTAATGATTAATTGCTGTAAGTTTTTACATGCCATCGTAAAAAATACTTAGTATGTCAATTGGTTTATTAACATATAATAAATTACGCATAAACATTTATAAATGTTTGTTGATTTTCATCTCTTTTATGCGTGTGTAGTTTTTTGCAAGTTTTTTTTTTAATTATGCGCCTGCATTTAAATTTGTAGCAAAAGTATAAACGGTAGAAAAAGTATAAAATAAAACATTTTATCGTTTTGTCGTGAATCTAATAACTTCCTAAACAATTTATTCAATTCAAATAAATAGAATTTTGTTAGAATTTAATTCCCTAAAAAAATTAACAAGCACCTTCAATTCCAGTTAAAACTCTCCTTTTCAACTAAGCGTATGCTAGAACATAGTCCAGGTTTACGACAGGAATAAACCGGGTTAAAATCCACAGGCATGTGTTTTTGTATTACTGCGCAATTAAATTTATTTTACTAAAAATATTGCATAGTTTAATTATCCTAGTAAAATGTACCATTGTAAGTATATCATTCTTGTGGTAGTAACGAATAAATTTTCCGATTCACTAAACCACAGATTATACTATAATTTTCGTGTTTTTTACATAAATGAGGTAACATGGCTATATTACAAGTAGTTGGTTTTGTTAGTTTTTTTTTATCTCTTACGTCTATCTTCTTATCTTCATAATCTCATTATAATCCTTTTATACTTGCGCTACCAAAAATAACAGAAAATATATAAAAGTAGGAAAACCCGAAACTTACATAGGGATTACCGCAACAAAAATATTTTCTTCCGTTATTTCCGAATAATCCGTGTCCACGGCCACGCGACACACGTCAATATTTTATAGTTAAACAAAATAGATATAGGTTCAGAACGGACACAGTGTAATACAGCGTTTGACGACATTTTTTAAAGAAATAAGCCGCGTCTATGCGAGTAGTGGCTCGTGAGCGCTTGCTGCTGAGGTGAATAAACTGTATCTCATTAAACATATCGATATGAAAATGAGCAATGCGACGTAGGAAATCGTCGCCCGCGCCGATGTCTTCACTGAGAAAGAAACTGGGAAACATTTAAGTCTTCGTGTCTCTTTATTCATGATCCGCTGCGTCGCGTCGCCGGCGCGCAAACGCGGCAGTGGGCGGCGACACTTAACGACCCTAATATCGTTACTTATGTATATCTCGATTAAAACAGATCTCCTGACTAATTATAGACAAATCAACAAATTATAATCATAAAATATAAGCTTTGTAAGCTATTGTCCAAAATATTTTAAAAGTAAATATGAGTCGAACGCCGAACTACAAAAATCCTAACGAATTGAATTTACTTGTGAAATACATCATCTCTGGCTCTGAACCTATACGTTTTAACTGCAAACATTGTGATCAGTGAAAGGAAAATTAATTATCTAATTTAAATAAAAATAACATACCCAAATGACCGGAGAGCGATCGTTTTCTATTCTCATATCTCCAAGAACTCATTCAATATAAATGTGTAAAAAATAAGATCAACTCGTGTTTATCTCAACAAGTATTATCTGTATTATCGACGTATCGCAATCTTTCTCGCTCTGAATATAACAATAATGTGTTTTTTTTTTATTTTGCATTATTTTGTATCGAAGTACATCTTAATAGATTTCATATGATCAAAATTTACTTGTTTTTCCGTGTCTAAATCGAAGACGATCAGTCTTCTTGATAACTTTTCTTGTATATCATTATAATATAGAAATTGTTTTTGTACTTAATTGAATCACTTAAAAATTTTGTGTGAGAGTAATAAGATAGTAATCTTCCATTATTATCAGATAAAGAGTATTTTAATAAACTTCCCCTATGAATTTGTATTTCTTTAAAAAAAGGCATTGTACTAAAGTAAACAGGAGATTTCTTTATCATCGGTAGCGCTTTGCAAATACCGTTATTAATCTGATAAAAACAACAGTTAAATGGTATACTTTATTAGAACGTAATTTACAATACAATACAAAATGTTAGACATAATACATGACGATGATCCCAACATGAAGATAAATATCCGGCTACGAGTAATAGCCGTGTATGGAATGTTCAGGTGGTTCACGACGATATGGTCACCCCAACTGCAAAAAATATTATGCAAAACATATTTCCGTGTTTTACATTACTGGTCTTCTCGGAAGTAACACTGATGCTTAGACTAGACATAATTAAAAAAACATTTTTGAGTGAACATTATAAGTTTACCTTTGCGTCCTGGCAGAGTCCGAAGTGTCCGAGCAGCAAGGGCCCCTCGGCGCGGGCCGTGCGGCAGTCCACGGCGGCCACGCGCGCCTCCCGCGCGCTCACCACGTAGTACCTGCACAGCACCGAGCTCCGTCAACACGACCACTTCTACAATCCTTCTCTTTTTAACCTCGTTTAAAAATCGCTTTTATTTACCTTACGTTCCAACCGAAATGGTTATCCACGGGCACGTAAAATCCCGGCTCATTAAGCCACATATACTTCTGCAGATCATTGAAGCCGGGACTGGAGTTACACGGCAGGGCATAGGTGAGTGAAGAGCTGCTAGCCGGCGGCATCTTGCCTTCGGAAACGGTTCCTCCGAATAACACAATTTTCGTCTCTTCTCCTTTCGCCGACAGCACGCGCAGGATCACGTTCAGATATTGATCCGGATGTTTGACTAAATTTTTAGTGACGACACAAGCGATCAAGTCGCCGTCGAAGGGAAAGTCGCAGTGCAGCAGCCTGAGGCAACGATGCCCGGGGTCCACCTTGTCCGAGGGGTTCAGTTTGAGACATGACCCGCCGATAAAACTGTCTTTAAAATAAGGTTGCAGACACTCCAACTCGTTGGGCACGGGCGCCAGGGCCAGACGAATTTTCTTAGGGTTCTGACCGAGGCGGATATACAAGGAGGTCTGAACCATGGAACTGTCGGATTCGCCGGCGTTGCTGTCGGTCTCCGCGCCGGCGCCGGGGCGAGGACCGGCCGCCGCCGCGCTGGGCTCGGGCTGATCTTCCGCCTCCTTGAACGGTGCAACTTTGAACAAATTTCGGAATGCGTCGGTCACTTTACGTGAGCTCGAAGATTTTTCTACGTTTTCGTTCTTCTCATCTTTCTCCTCGACAGGAATGGAGTTGGCTTCTGCTGCGGTCTCGGATTTGGTTTCTTTGACTACGGACACCCGCGAAGCGTTAACGGATAATGATTTTTTTGTATCTAATCCGCTTCTGGTGAGCTCGAGGGACCGTCTGCAACGAGTCATCACCGCCTTGTTCTTGAACAAGCCATGGCGGGAAGCATTGATGATGTTCTCGAGCATGGAAAGCAGGTATCCGTGGGGACCGTGTGTTGAATTTAGCTGGTACTGCATGTGTCGCAAGTTGAACCACGGCCCTGGGCTTATTACCTAAACGCGAAGAATAATAAAAAATATTTACTAATATGAAAATATGCTGGAATTGAAACAATGAAACCGATTGGTTGAAATCAGTGTTTTTCTTCGTTTGCTTATAATTGAAGTGTAATACCTCGCCATAGAAGCGGCGCTTGATGCCCTGTCCGCGACAGAAGGAGGACGCGAAAGGCAAAGTGCAGGGCAGCTTAGTGTTGAGGTAGGGCCACAGGCTGCCCCACAGCGCGCGCTCGCGCAACAGGAACTGCTCGTACGTGTTAACCTTGGGCGTGAACATGTCCACGTCGCAAGAGGCGTCCGAGCGCGCCTCGTGCGTCCACGCCGGCGCGAACACCGCCAGCGAGAACCCGTAGCTGTGCGCCAGCTTCACCGCCTGCCCCGGAGACACTCACTCTTTACTCTTCTGACATAAGCTTTACACGCGTCGATACTAAGTTACAGATATCAATCTCCACTGTATATTAAGTACGGAAGATCTTCCAGACGCCGACAAAGAAACAAATATAAATAATTTATATTAACTCACCTCCTGCGTATTGAACTGGCCGCCGCCGTAGAAATTTCGTCCCCAAACGTCGATCCCCACGTAGACGTCGGTGAGGCGCTCGCCGGCCGCCATCGCGCTCGCTCGCAGCTCGTTCTCCGACCACGAATAGTTCGTAAAGATGCCATCGCACACATCGAAGAATGCCCTACATTGGAAGCTCATTACCTTATTTACCAAATACTTCATATTTTTAAAACTTTACTCTTTGATGTTACTGCTGTAACTGTAGTCAAAATGCCTAACGATATCAATAAATTAAGTGAATAAGCAGACTTAGCATGAAATCCTCGCAGCGTAGAACGAAACAAACCTGTTCTTTTCATTGAGACAGTTCTGCCAGTTGAGGTGTCCGGCGACGGTGACGCTGTCGTACCAGAGCAGCAGCGCGTGCGGCAGCGCGGCGTGCAGCTCCCTGTGCAGCAGCTGCACAAATGTCACCAGCTCGCGCGGCCGCGACACCTGCATGCACAGCGCCACACTCAAATACTTACCACACACGTATTTAATTGCAGAATAATAATACAATTAGGTAACAAACCTTGTTCTCAACGTTCAGTAGCCATCCATCGAAACTGAGTGTTTTCGCGATAAAGACCAAGGCGTTGGCAAAGTCTCGCATTTTGTCTTCTGAGGATAAGATATTCTCCCAAAACGTTGCACCTTCGCTCCATTCTGTTATTATAGTTCCTATGGAAGCAGTAACATGTGTAATAAATACATTTTAATTAACCAATTATGTCACAGAATTTTTACAGAAAGCGACGCAAAGACGAAAATATTTTTCTCTGCTGTTCGGTATATAAATGAAGATAGTGCAAGTGCAAAACTCAAAAATAGCAGAAAATAAAGTCGGGACTTCCAAACACATACCGATAACCTGAACCCCGTGCGCATGACCAATGTTGATCCATCCCAGAGGCGGTATGGTCACGAGGTGGTGGCTGAAGTAGCAGAAAATGTCTATCCCGCCCCAGTTGTAGAACGTGTACGCTTCATGGTCATTTGTACCATCCACCACGCTAAATAATATCAAAGTTAAAATAATCATATAACTACGCAAATTCTAAAATGTAAAATCTAACAAGTAGATTATTCTTATTCTATTATTTATCTTAATTTGAAACAAAGAAGCGTATGGATAGTATAATTAATTATTAGTCCATTTGTTTTAGTAAAAATGAGATTAAATTTAAATTTTAGATTTTTTTTAAATTTTATATTAATATTAATTTAAACGTTATTTTGAGTCATAATTTTACCGATTATAATAAATACAGATTATAATTAAATGAACATCAATGTTGAATTTTACATATTTACAATATAAAAAAATATTAGTAGATTTATGAAACATTTTTATCAATAATTCTAACTCACCAATCGTCATGATATCCGTTGGCCATATCGTGACATACCAATGTTTTTGGTAACTTTTTTATACTTTGACGTTCAATTAAGTCTTCCGTTTCCGTCGTATAGTGACAGAAAGTTTGCGGGGTTTCCAAAAATGTTTTTCCAAAATCTTTATTGATATCCACATTTCGAATAGCTTGTTGGCTGTGAGGCTTCAACTCCGTACATAGCGTTCTCCATGAAGGAGGATCTTTTAAGAATTCCGTAATATCTTCGTATGTAACTAGTGGCTTGCAGGTTCGTTCCCGAGCCAAACTTATTTGTGAAATCTGAGACATTGCCTTTTCATGAAGTCAGTCAGTGCCAATATTGTATAAACGAAGCTCAAAACTATTTTATATACTTTAATTTAATAATAATATAATGTAAATTACCAATAGAACGCGATTTATTTACTTTGAGTCCAGACTTCAGAGTGACATTGACAAATGTTCGCCACAATGGCGGGTGATATGAATGCACGTAAACAAATGCGTTGAAATGAAGTTGCAAAGTGTATTAGTAATTAGAACACAGGTCAATGCCACAATAATTAAACGCAATATTACATTTGCGAAACATCAATTCCTCTTATGTGTAACGCGAGTGATTTAATACCATTACTGTATTTTTGTCATACTAATTTCATTGTGCGCTTATCCTACGAAATAATATCAAATCTACTAGATCTTATACCAGTGCAGGGTACATGCACATGTACATGATCTATCCAATGATATCAGAGATATCAGAGAAATTACTTTATAAGGATGATATTGAAGGAAAATTAATAGTGTTAATTATCCCCTTTCTTTGTTTATATTATTGTTAAAATTAATTTGTTCTCAATATTCCGTTTAAATGGATTAATTTGATATGGTACGCAAATTACTAAAACATCACACCTCCATGTATCTCAGCTTTTAAGTTGCAACAAAGATGGACATCGGTGTTCCCCCTCTGGAAACATACCCCCAGGAATTGGTTAACTTTCGTAACAATGAAAAATATATACAAGCAACATAATTGTGATTCTTAGATATTTTATGTACCATAAAACAATAGTGGAATATTTCCTATTAGTGTGGGACTAGTTTGTCCTAGATTTGATAAAGAAATAAGGATGTGTGTCACTATTGATAAGTATTGTACAAATGATTAAAATATGTTTGTTAATATACAATAGTAAGTACCTAGTATGACCTTAATTCTAGAATTGTCTGTATGTCATTTAAACTATATAAAATGCAATCGGTCAATTTCATTTTGTGATGGCATATCTTAAGGGACAATGAATCTCATTGGTCAATCATGGGACAATTTTACCAATTTTTATTTTCACTGATAGTAATATACTTAACTGTCTTTAAAATACTCCACTATTTTTGGCTAGTACTTTATCAAATTTCCACATTTCAAATCTCTTTTTAGAAAGCTATTGTATTATTTTTGACAATAGCTAGAAGAAAAATATATTAATATCTTATTTGAAAAGGAAAGTTGATCTTATATCAAAGAAGATAAAAGCTATTTCCTTATTTATTATGTGAACTTTATGGAATAACATTTTCAAGTAATAACTTTTGAATAAACAAATCAATTCATATACTGTTGCTAGTAAGCTAACTTTATATTATGAAAATTAGAATGCATTTTAACCCCACTATTTAAACAATTTATGGAGCTTAAATACTTGGATATTCAATGTTTTATCCCTTAAAAAATGTGATAGATTCTTTTTTTTTATAATTGCAACACTCACTTGTCAATTTTTCATTTTCAGATTGTTTTCTTTCACATTTCAGTGATTGTCAAGTTTTACAAGAGAAGTGATAATTGAATGAGATTGCTGTAAACATCTAATAATTAGATTAAAATAAGGATAACTTTTGTTAAAAAATCTTCAATGATAATATATACATCAAATAAAGGTGATAATTGAGTGCTGATTCATCTGTAATAATTGAAATAGGTTTGGTTAATAACTGAAATATTTATCTCTAGTAAGTGGCCCCTTGTATGTTTATGTAATTAAAATAACTCTATTAACCTAAATAAACCTCGGAATGGTAACAAGGGCAGTGTTCCTACATTTTGAACATAAACTACAGAATACATTACCCATACTACTATTCAAAATTGGTAGTAATTCTACCATAAACTATTTGTAATTAAGTTACATATAATTTTTTTTCAGGTAAATGTAGGGATATAGTAAATTTACCCCAATGCCTAAATGTTTTCCAATAAACAGACTATTGCAGTTAAAGATCAGCTCGTGCGTAATCTTTCTGCTATGTTTAGTAGCAGTCATTCAATTTTTTGCTTCATACGGCCGATATCACTATGAACATATACCTAGAGAACACTTGACGACCAACATCTTTTTCCGAACTAATCCTAAATTAGAAGTAAATAAAGAAAAACCCAATTGTAACTATGATGGGATACTACAAAGTACAAGTTCCATTGACACAAGGAATGTTCCAAGGAAGTTTGGTGACTTTACAACCAATGGGCTGGTTAACGGTAGTTACACTCCGGAGAACTGCAACCCTCTTCTAAGTGTTGCCATTTTAGTAACATACAGAGACAGACAGAATCAATTAGACACATTTATCCCATACATGCATAATTTCTTGAGGAAGCAAGGCATCCATTACACGTAAGTATACATTAACTAGTTATTTTATTCATTTGATGTTCTCTAGTATTATTATAGTATTTCTTAGAGTATTTCATTTCGCTAAACTTTCTGCTTCACACAGTTATTGAATAGTCTTAAAAATCGCCTTAAGTCCAGCAATGCATCTGTAATTCCTCTGGCATTGTTGATATCAATGGGCTTTGTTGATCACCGTGTTTACCTCCTTATGTTTAATTTACATTTCAGTATTTACGTAATAGAGCAACAAGATGAGAAACCCTGGAACAAAGGCCTGCTTTACAACATTGGGGCTAAGCAAGCCATTGTGGACAAGTTCCCATGCCTCATCTTACATGACATCGACCTGCTGCCGCTGGACAGTGGCAACCTCTACTCTTGCCTGCACGAGCCTCGGCACATGAGTGCTAGTATTGACAAGTTCCGGTTTGTTCTGACGTACGACTACCTGGTCGGCGGCGCGCTCGCGATACGCTCTGACCAGTATATTGCAGTCAATGGCTTCTCCAACAAATTTGAAGGCTGGGGCGGAGAGGATGATGATTTTGCAGGCAGGCTAAAGGCAAAGAATTTAAAAGTTATTAGGTCAGTTCCACTATCTTAGTATAAATGCATATGTTTAGATGGACAAATGAGATGTAGTTTATAAAGTCCTGAACAGCTTAACAGATTTTGATGATATTTGGCACAGATGTAGAACATAGACTGGAAGAATACTTAAGCTAGTTATTAAGTTTTTACACTTTCTCGCAGACAAAATTTATTATTATTTTATAATCTTTTTTTTTATATTCTTTTGACCAAGGATAATGTTCAAATACTTATTTCTTAGATATATATTTGACATAAGTAGTTTAATTTCAGATACCCACGTGAATTGTCGAGGTATACGATGCTGGTGCATCCCCAGGAGAAGAAGAACAGAGACCGCAGCCGGATTCTGTCAGAGAACCAAATGAGCCACAACAAAGACGGGCTCAGCACCGCAGAGTATGCAGTCAAAAGTGTGCACAGAAACACATTGTTCACACTTATCGGTGTTAAAACATGATTTATTGAAACTTGTACATAAAAGGAAAGTTAAACAAGTTTAGATGCTATATATGAAAGGAATGCATTATTCTGCTTATTTCGAAAGTGATACAAAATACGAGACATTTCAATAAAATGTTTTACTTTTAAATAAAAGAACTTGCTATTGACCTGCTTGGAAAATTTTGCAAGTGTCAAATATGTGCGTTTTGAATTTTTTTATCATGTATGTCTACGTTGTATTGAATTACAGGGATTACACTATAATTTTTTCGTGATTTAGTTTTTTTTCATATAGGTTGTTCATTATTTTACTATTTTAGAAAGTTATTCAAAGAGTATTTTAATTCTGTAGATGACTAATTTCATGTAACATTGGATTCAGGAACACGAGTTCCAAGGATAAAAATGTTCATTAACGTGCGATATCACAGTTTATTTAAATTTCATGTAAAACCATAGGTAATACTGCATGTAATAAAAATGACTAGGTTTTTAAGAATGTACATTTACGTTTTACGTAATTCCATATTACTTTTAAAGAATGTACACTTCAATTCCAATACAATATATGTTTTAGTATGTTTCTGATTATTTATTTATCATTGTTATTTGATTCCTTTGAAAGGTGAAAACGAAATAGACAAATTGTAATTCAATAAATTTATTCAGTTTGTGGTGTGAACTCCTCCATTTGCCCCCAATTGGGTCCGCAGCGCAGCGCCACCGGCAGCCGCGCCTGCAGCCCGCACGCCGGACCGCAACCCTCCATCGCGCGCTGGATCACTGCTGCACCATACACTACGCCTCAATTTATATCATTTAGACACATCCAACCATCCATCTACCCTCTGAGTCGCAAATAGAGTAGCAAGGCGAGGCAGTGCGCACCTGCGGCCTCGTGCAGGTGTTCGTGGCGCACCTCCCACACCAGCTCGTCGTGTATCTGCAGCAGCAGGCGCGCGCGCCCCGCCAGCGCCGCCGCGCACCGCACCATCGCCGTCTTGCACACGTCCGCCGCGCACCCTGACACACGCGACACTGCACCCTCAGCTGGCCAGTCGATAGTGGAAGAGGAATCGAAAGTAACGCGACTTAACCGGACCTTGTATAATGAAGTTGATGGCTTTCCTCTCCGCCTGCGCCCTGGCGGCGGCGTGCGGGCTCGCGATTTCCTTGAAATGCCTCGCTCTGCCGCAGGGCGTGCGCAGCGTGCCGTCCCGCTCGCACCGCGCCACCACCTCGCGCCCGAACCTCCTCAGCGACGGAAACGTCCCTGGAGTGATGACCGTTTGCTCCACATCAGTTACGGTGAGCTACCAAATGACGTACTTGGAAGCGGAGCATAACTGACGGTTGAAGCTGGCGGTGACCTCGAGCGCGCGGTCGTAGCCGAGGCCGAGCACGTCGGCGAGCTTGTTGGCGCCGGCGCCGTACATGCTCGCGTACACCACGCGCTTCGTGCGCTCGCGCTCCTCGCCGGTCACGGCCGCCTCCTCCTTGCCGAGCCTACACCTCACAACGAACGCTCTTTAGAAGGGATCACTCGGCACTCCTCCTACCGTAACAGTGCGTGTGTACCAGGTGGCGGCGAGCAGGGTGAAGAGGTCGGGGCCGCGCAGCGCGGCCAGCAGCGCGGCGTCGCCGGCCGCCAGCGCCAGCACGCGGCACTCCACCTGCCGGAAGTCCGCCGACACCAGCAGCCGGCCCGCGCGGCTCTCGTACAGCGACCGCAGGTTCAAGGCCTCCTCCTCTTCCCCAAACGGAGCGGGGAACATACTGAGGGCGAAGGGCGCCTTGGGCACGGCCTGCAGGTTGGGAGTGTTGCAGGCGATCCGCCCCGTGGCCGCCGCACTCTGCTCCCTGCTCGACGATTCGTAATTAATAAAATAATTGCTTACATGTTGTTACTTGTCGATCTATCGTTCTTTTGAAGTAAAGGTGTTGGTAGGTTGTTTATTGAACCAGTCGTCTCAAATTTGGTCACCAATCGTTGAAAACTTTGAAGTACTACCGTGTCTGCCGTAAAATGGGCGCAATGCGCACAACGTTTGCACTAACGAACACTCATTCTGATAATATAGTTTTATCATTTGCACATGCTGCTCAACCATGTAACTTGCCATGGTGATATATAATCAGTGACTGAATAAGAAAAAAGATAATTTACAGATCCCGCCCAAACAAAATGGCCGTCACAGATTATTCATCTACCCGTCCTTGTTGAAAGACCCTTTATTACGAACTAATTTTATTTTTACTTTAGACTTGAAAAAATGAATGAGAACTAGACTAGACAAGCCACATCATAGCTAAACAAGATTTACTTTAATAAAAAAAAACATTTTCAGTTTTAACAATGTCCGGCTCAATGGACCTTTCACCGTTAAAATGAAATAAAAAAAAAAAACGTTAATACTAAACTAGTCAAATCACAAAATGTTCAGGCTTAAGAATGTATCAAACACATTTTTACCACACAGGTCTGACGACCCCGTCCCGCACACACTGCGCTATCCCCAGCAGGAAGGTGCTGTGCGCCTTGTGCAGGTGCCGGTACTCCAGGATCAGTTTAGGCAGCGGATGTTTATTCATTAAGCTTCGCAGCTGAGGAAAGCAGGAATTGACACAAAACAAACACGATCCAAGTGATAAAAACTCGATGTGACGAGTAAATAACTACTACAGTGACCATTGTCTCGGAAGTGGATTTAGCTCCCTTGCAGATGGTCTCCCGGATCTTGACGTTGCAGTGCGAGTCGAGCTGCAGCTCGTCGTAGAGGATGGCGCGCACCTGCGGCGCGGAGGTGAGCTGGAAGACGCGGCCGGCGGCGCGGTGGCTCGCCTGCTCCACGCGCTGCATGCGCGCCACCAACAGCCGCTCCATGCCTTTCAGTTTCTCCATGTTCACGCACACGCCCACTCTCTCCATCTCTAATCACACCATATTAATATTGGACTCCTACTTCGATGAAACTTCAATATTAAGCAATTTCTCCTAAATTAGATCAAAATATAATAAGCCAAGTTTTATTTTCCGAACATAGAGATAATCGCCTGAGGTACAAAGTACCTGAAATGATGGGCAAAACCCGCATTTCGATATCCATAAAGACCTTCCACAGGCCTTGATCGAGCAGCGATTGCTGAACTCTCTGCCAACAGTGTTGTAACAGCATCAGGTACCACGCCGTCTTCTGCAGTCCGCACTCCGTCGCTATGGTGAACTCGGCCACGTAACCTATCAGCTTTTGTACTTGTGAAAAGTTATCGGGTGGATTGTCAGGGTCTAAAAGGCTCCCGCCGACCTGCAAAGATGAACTTACGATATGTTAAATACAGAAAAACAAATGGTAATTAAAAAAAATCTTCGATCTTTTAAGTCCGAAACTACACCTTTAAAAGTAAAGAAAATTCTTCCGGGTTTTATTGTCAACCTGCCACTATCGCTACTGGTCATCCATTCATCCCTTGTCCTCGGCCTTCCTCTACCTTTGTAGTCATTCACATTCAATCTTAATCTTTCTAGTTTATGTGATCAGCATCTCTTCGCATAATATGTCTATGCCACTCTAACCTTTTGCTTCTCAATTTTTCTATGACTGGTTCTACTTTCAAACTTCCTCTAATAACACCTTTCTTTTATTTAACAGGGCCGGCTCGCCCCCAGTAATACCACGACCATACAGAAGACATGCGTGAAATGGAAGCAATTCCGTGTTTCGTCTGATGAGTGTGGTGCCGGAGGCCTTATTTAAGTCCCTTTCTCTTTACCACCCTTTTCTTATAAGGAGAGGTTGGGAAGAGGAAGTGGATTTGACGGTGGAGAAGTTGCATAGGAAGGGGAAATATCTACATTATGTGCGTCTCTTCCTCCGTCGTATAAGGGTAGGCAACGCATCTGCAATTGCGGATGTCTATGGGCAGCGGTCGCTTCGACATTTTGGCGAGATCAGGTAGCCGCTTGCTCGTTTGCCACCTTATCTTATAAAAAAAATGAAAGATACTTACCTTTACATCAAGAAATTTCGCATTACACATGTCGATGGAGATCCCAAATTGATTTACGAAATGTGTAATAACATGTTTACCTTCGTAACAAACCAAAGAGTTTTTATTCAGAAATGTTTCTAACGATTCACTGAAACATTTTCTCAAACGTTAATAAAATTATAATTGTTTACAAAATTTGTTTAATTGCCGTACCTGTATTTGGTTGATGAATTTGTTAAATAGTAATATTTATCTTTAGTAAGAATCATAATTCCTTCTGCTATATCCACGTCCTCAGTGTGCTGTTTGTTTAATTGACAAAAACCATTCCTGTTAATTATAATTGAATATCTTCATTCATTATTTTTGTAGTCAAATCGTAGTATGCTATTGTTTAAATTATTTTAGTTACCTATAAATAAGGGTTATAGCTATTTCTTCGTCACTATATTCAAATAAATTTAAAACATTTAAAGATTCATTTTCGATAGTTGCTATGTCGTAAGTTAACTCTTTAACAGGAATTTGGGATTTAATTGGGGGAATAAATTTAGGTTTTACAATTCTTTCTTTATTAGCATCTGTTGTAGATCCTTGTTTCTCAACGTTATTCACTTCGCTTAAAATTTTTGGTTTACAATATTTCATAATTCCATTCTGGTTCGATAATTGTGCTTGTACTGTTCTTTTATATTTACTTTGTTCAATGTTTGTATCTGGCGTTTTTAATGAATTTTCCTTGCTTATTGTACCAGTTTCATTGGCATGCAGGTTTTCGCTTGGTACTTCTGGTTCAACAGGGTTACTAGGATCAACATCATTTAACCATGTCTTAACACTCTTAGAATATTTCTGTTTACGAAAACTCGATTTAACTACTTTACTGTCTTTGGGGTTTTTTTTAATTTTCTTGGGTAAGAGATCTTCAATATCAGCGGGATGTTTTTTAACCCGTTTTTTTGAAGTTTTACTTCCGCGTGTTTTGCTGTTATTATTTTCCACTGGTTTATTAAGGAATTCTGGTTCAGACAATTTCGTTGCTTTTACATAATTTTCACAAGTATCTTTTTCAGTATTATTAACATCCGATAGCAATTCAGTGTCAAACATATCCTCCCATGGTACTTCATCGGCATGATCTAAAGTTTTACTTTCTTGGCGTACTTCGTCATTGACAATGTTTAACAAACTGCTAGCGGGGGGCACTGGTGTGATGTCGTTATTAAGTGAATTTGAATGCATATTTTGATGTGCAATTTGCGGATTAACATCTTCGTATACACATTTAACAAGTTCATTTGATGTTGGTACTACTGGATTTTCACACGGCATAGTATTTGTAACCAAATCAACTCCATTTTGTAGACTACTAACTGTATGATCATTGCTCAAATTATCATTTGCAAAATCAATAACAATTTTTTCACTGTTAGAAGGAGGAATATGATTTAAGTCCGAATATCTGAAGCTGTAAAAGTTTAACAATCTTAATTAACAATAATAATTAAACTCGTGTGACGATTAACTGAATAACTTACTTGGCGGTCTCCGTATTAGAATATGGACGTGTATTGCCTATGTTAAAATTATTTCTGTTGCTAGCAAGATCATCTGTAAAAAGTAACATATTTTTCGGCTGTCTCCTTTGTTTGATTTATTTTTAACGTTTCATGCCCACTACTTTACTACTTAAAATTATCTCATACCCTTGGTGTTTTGCTGAATCAAAACTTTTAAAACTTTTCGACCGAAGGTTGACAAGTATTTCTCATATTTTCTTCCAGCTATTTCGTGTAAATTATTAAAATTCATTTTAAACTTAATTAAGCTGCTTATAAAAAAAAAATACTTTTCGCGCGTTCTTCGAATAGGGAACTGCTTGTTTGTATCAGTATTGCTAGAATTAATAATTAATTAATAATTTCGATCACATTTTGTCTATGTCTTTAACGATAATCAAACAACTTTTAATATTGTACAAAACGAAAAAAGTACACTGATAGTACTGATAGCATACTCACAAAAATAGTTTTCGATTTTTTTTATTTTAATCGTATGTGTGCGTAATTTCAAATACTTAAAGACAAATACCTACTGAAGTTACTGGTATTTAGTAAATAGTAATAACATATAGCAACCCAACTTAACTCAATGTCAAAATTGTCATAATTATAAAAAAATATCAAAATACAAAGACGAATTGAAATAAAACGGAGAAATTGAACAAAAACACACATTTTGAAAATAGTTTACACTGTAATTGTCTGATCATGTGATTGTCGCTATTAACAGGAACAAAATAAATGAAGATGACTTTAAATCAAGAGAGCTGTGATAACTTGTCTTCGGACGGGGAGCCAAAGCTAAAATATGATAGAATGGGTAATGACGTTCAAAATATCTTAATGACTGATGCTGTGAGTTGTATTTGTGTTCATACTAAGTTTATATGCCTCGGCACCCAATGGGGAGTCATACACTTACTTGATCATGAAGGGAACACCGTGCCATTTTCGCAAGACAACAACCAGAAGGACTTACAAGCGCACGCTATTGCTGTTAACAAGATATCTGTAGATGAGAATGGGGACTACATAGCGAGTTGTTCAGATGATGGCAAAGTGTTGGTTTACGGCTTATATTCTAAAGACAATACACACAGTCTTACTTTGAGCAGAGTTGTGAAGTCGGTAGCTTTGGATCCATTCTACTACAAATCTGGAACGGGAAGAAGATTTCTTACAGGTATTAATATTAACATAAATATTTGAATGAAAGTATTGATGTATGACTAGTTAATGTAAGAATATCTGGTAGTATGAAAATCAGGGAAAACTATCATAATAATAATTATTTCTTGTATTACAGGTGATAACAAATTAACTCTATATGAGAAGACATTTTTGAATCGTCTTCGCAGCACAGTTCTCTGCGAGTGTGAGAGCTATGTGCAAGCGATAGCCTGGCACGATCGGTTTGTAGCATGGGCGAGCGAAGTTGGTGTACGTGTCTATGACCTTGTAGCAAGGTGTTCTCTAGGCCTTATTCAATGGGAAAAAAGTTTGAATAGATCCATAGAAGATTTTCGTTGTAACTTACTCTGGTCTGCCCCCAAAACCTTGATGATTGGGTGGGTAGACACCATAAGGATATGTCTGATTCGAAAACGAAGCTCTATCGAGTTACAGACGAGAGATGACACAGAATATTTAGTAGATCCTGTTTACACATTTCAAAGTAAAGAGTACTTTATTAGTGGCCTTGGCCCTTTGGATGATCAACTTGTACTTCTTAGTGTTCCAAAGGAACCTGATCCAGAAACAGGAAAATCACAAAGACCCATTCTAATTGTAGCAGATTATAAAGACTGTGAATTTAATGAGTTTTCCGCTGATACTTTAAACATTCGAGGTTATGAAGAAAACTCATGCAATGATTATTTTTTAGATATGTTAATTGAAGAAAATCGGTTTTTCATTGTATCACCTAAAGAAATAATAGTCGCCAGTCCATATGATATTGATGATAAAGTAAATTGGCTCACAAAGAAAGGAGAGTTTGAAAGAGCTATTGCTGTGTTGGATGAAGTTGGTGGCAAAACTAGTCAGCATTCTGTAGTTACTGTTGGCGTTGATTACTTAGACCATTTATTATCTAATCAACAATACGATGCAGCAGCAAAAATATGCGCAAAAGTGTCTAAAAATGATAAAATCTTATGGGAGAATCAAATCCTTAAATTTGATGCAGTTAAGCAGTTGCGAGCTGTTAGCACTTACATTCCTCGCATTTCTGAACAAGTCTTAAGTCCACACATTTATGAATTAATTCTTAATGAATATTTAAAGGAAGATCCACAAGGATTCCTTAAATTAGTGAAGGAATGGAATCCATCTCTGTACAGAACTGGTGTAATTATTAACTGGGTTCTTGAACATTTATTAACTACCAAAGTAGATAATAATGTATATTTAGAAGCATTGGCTTTGCTTTATTGCTATCAAAAGAAATATGATAAGGCTCTCACCACCTATTTGAGTTTACAACATATGGATGTTTTTAAACTGATCAAAGAGCATGATATGCATACAGTAATATATGACAAAATTCTTAATTTAATGCAACTAGACTGTGACAGAGCCATATCCATTCTACTGGAGAAGTTTCCTGTTGAACATATTGACAAACAACATGGAAAAACAAAGATACCAGTTGAGGTGGTGGAGAAACAGCTGGAGAACAATGATCTATACCTGTTCAAGTATTTAGATGCTTATAGCAAAATTGAACCAAATGGCCGATACCATGGAAAGCTAATTAAGTTATATGCAAAGTATGCGCGGCCCAAGTTGTTGCCATTCCTAAGATGTAGCGATAACTATCCTATTCAAGAAGCTCTAGATGTATGTCAAAGTAATGAATTTTATCCAGAAATGGTTTTTCTTTTAAGTCGCATTGGTAATACGAGAGAAGCGTTGCAGATTATAATAGAGAAGTTAAATGATATAAACCAAGCAATCAACTTTTGCCAGGAACACAATGATAAGGAGCTGTGGACAGACCTCATACAGCAGACTGTGGACAAACCTGAGTGTGTCACATTGCTACTGAAGAGGATAGGGAACTACGTAGATCCGCGCATGTTGATTCAGCACATACAACCTGCCTGTGAGATCAAGGATCTTAAAGAGTGTCTGGCAAAAATGATGTGTGACTACCATCTCCAAATGTCAGTACAAGAAGCATGTAAAGTTATTACCCTCAGAAACTATTTCGATTTACATGAAAAATTGATAGCTGGTCAACAGAGAGGAATATCGGTGACAGATGACTTCTTGTGCCATGTCTGTCAAGGCAGAATCATAGTCCGGGACTTGTCCAATGCCTCAAACCTCATAGTTTACAACTGTCGGCATTCATTCCACATAGATTGTCTACCCAATGGTATATTGTGTAATAATTGTTATGTATGCAGTGCAGTTAAGATGTGACATGTTTTCTGCTCAATGTTTATTAAAATAGGACTATATATTAAATTAACCAATATTTTCCCAAGTAAACCTAAATACTGATTAATATAAAATGTAATTTTATGTTACGCTGATAATTAGTTTATTTATATGACACTATCAGTAATTGTGGTGTTTGGTAATGAGGTGGCTTGTGTTATTTTCCTGGTATTAGTCCAAACCTCATAATATTAAATCATTAACAAGTCTTGTTTTTTTTTTCACCTATGTTAATTCCATTAATGGTTTTCGGAGAACAATTCTTGAGTACTTGCTACACATGATTAGTAATATTGGTGAATGATGAGACAATCCTGTGGTAATGCGACATTTAAAGAAAGAAGAGTCGTCTGTAACCGACATACATATACATTATGTGGAAAAGACAATAATTCTAGATTTCTCAGTAAAAAATTCATAATCTCTTGCATTCTAAAGATTTTAATGAAGTTCCGTGGTCAATGTCATACTTTATATGAATAGGAAACATTAATTATTCCGATTCTAACTTCCTATATCTGATCTACCCTCACTATAATGGCGCATTTGCTTAGCCTTCATATCGTATGTAGGGACTCCCCATGTAACGAAATTAAACAATGCTATACCTTATCAGTATATTGATATTGACCATAGTCAATGGTCAATATCAATATACTGATAAGGTGCGACATATTATGGTGATCAAAATGAAAGAAATTGTATTCATACATATTTAATTAATACGTACCTTTAGTTAGAATTATTAAGTTTTTAAATCAGAAAAAAATAACAAAAATAATTATTTGGCAAGGTTAAAATGAATAACCAATGCGTAGAAAGTGACAGCTCTTTATTGTTTATTCCCATGTGGTGTTGAAAAATGGACGCGCACATGATTCTGTGAAGTTTAAAAAATGTTTTCTTTACGTATTAACGAGCGTTGAATATTAAGAACAGAAGTAATCGTGTTCAAGTGTTAAGTGACAATGACAGAAATGCCTCCTTATCTCGCCGTTAAAGATGAGGAGAAAAATAGTGGACAGACAGATAGTGAGTGTTCAGACTCTGAAGACGATTTGCCTCTAAGTTTTAATAAACCGAGACACATTGAGCCTATCAAAGGTGCAGAACGCGAGGAGCACTCGTGGAGAGTTAAAGAAAAGGTGAAAATTAAAATTACCTGGTGTCGTATCTGCAAAAAATTGAATTGCGTATAACTTGCTGAAGGACACGTTATGTTGAAAACAAACGCACATGGGATGTTTGCCTTGCATTTACTATTATATTTAATATATTAAAATGAAGATATTTTTGTAGATACAACAGAAATCTCTAATCTTACATTTTTGTTTATTGTTATTGTTTTAGTTAATGTTTTGTTTACATAATTTCAAATATAAAATGTCAATATTTTTTTAAGTCAAACATATTTGAAATCGACTTTACACTACTGTTTAGTGTACAAATATAAACTTGTAAGTAATTAAACATCATAACATTATAACATTTATTCTTAGTCAATAATCAAATGTTCCATAATGTTTCTTTTAAATTAAAACTAAACTAGCGCTTGACCATGATCCCACCTGATATTAACATTCAATTATTACAATATTTTATTTCCTATAGAGAAAATAATGTTAATGCCATAGTTGTATACATAAACTGCTTGCAACAAGAGGTTCTCAAATGTAAATGATTAATTGTAATTCTAAAAAAATCTGTGACTATCCAACCACTGTCTGTGTACTTTTATAATTAGAGAATGTGAAAATAAATTTTTATAATTGATCTAACTAATTTAAAAGTACCTAAGTTTAATAAATAAACTTAAATATATGTAGGATCAATGTTAGGTAGGTTTAATGTTAAAACACTGATTTGTTAATATAACATGTAAATGTTTGTTCAGTACAAGACACACTGTGTAGCGCTGGTCCTCTGCCTCAATGTGGGCGTAGATCCTCCAGATGTGGTGAAAACTCAGCCCTGCGCCAGACTTGAATGTTGGATTGGTATGTCTCATAGAACTAAAACTTCTAATTTGATTAATGTATTTTCTTTATTAACACATTAATTGTCAATACATTACAAAATCTTTTTAAATTTTATGTACATCTTGATATCTTTCAAAGATCAATGTGGATTTTATTATTGTTGACTATTTAATATTTTTGTGTAACTGTGGATAGTTTTAAGAGATGAAAGGAAGCAGTTTGTATGAGTACAATTTGCATGTCAGATCCGAACTCACTGTCCCCGGGCAAAGCGCTAGAGAGTATTGGGCATGCGCTGCAGACACAGTACGAGCGCTGGCAGCCGCGCGCGCGCTACAAGCAGTCCCTTGACCCCACCAGTGATGAGGTACTACTATAATTCATCTCTTCTAAATATTCCCACAGTGCAATATTAATTCTTTGTATGTATGTATGTATGTATATGCTATACATATAAAAGGTTACATATCTTTCATATACAAGAAATATAATTTTTATGCATTTCTACAAAAAAATATCGAGCTATCGACCGTATATTTTAGCGCGAATTAAAAAAATAATGGTCATTACAAAAATTTAAAGGCGATTTTTGTTATCGGCAACGCAAGTACGCCATGTCACCGAAATTTGGAATTTTTCTTTTCATATCAAACACACTTACAAACACTCCAATTTAGATACTTATATAGATTAAGGGTTTTTAAAGCTTTACTGAGCTTGCAAAAATTGATATAAATGCCTAATGAGGTCAATGGTAATTCATTCAAATTAGGCTAATTAGTTAGCCGGCCGCGGCGGCCTTGAGACGGCCGTCCAAATACTGAACGCCGCTACAACAAGACTTTTTGCACATATGTTGATGTTGAAATTATTATTTTATCAGCTTTTAAAAGTGCCGTAATGATTATACACTGTCTTAGAGGGTTCAATTTTAAATTCACTAGTAAATGCAGTTAAGCAAGGTATGAATATGATTGTAGATCAAGAAGTTGTGCTGTTCGTTGCGCCGCAACGCCAAGGATGAACGAGTTCTGTTCCACTACAATGGCCACGGCGTGCCCAAGCCCACCAACCAGGGAGAGATATGGGTCTTTAACAGAGTAAGAGTTTGCAGATAAGATATAGCGCCGATGTAGATACGATCATATACGTGTTCAGTAGATGGTCAATAGATTGACGGCTATCTGTATGTGTGTGTGTGTGTGTCAGGCGTACACGCAGTACATCCCGCTGTCGATGTACGACCTGCAGACGTGGATGGGCGCGCCTTCGCTCTACGTCTACGACTGCTCCAACGCCGGCATCATCGTCGACAACTTCAAACAGTTCGCTGAACAACACGAACGCGATTATGAGGTACATACAAGACCAAGTAGTACATTATCAAGTACAAGTTTGGGTGTATCTACAAGTTACAAGATATTTGTTGTTGTTAGATGCAGGCGTCGAGCGGGCGGGACA